CTTGAAACCGAATTGCACGAAATTAGCGAATATACACTCATGTGCAAACTAATTTGGTTCTTTCGGGAGGCTCACCTGGAACCCAGCTGAATCTCTCGTTTATGGTGTTCTCAGGCCTTACTCAGACCTTCTCAGACCTTATTTTCCTAACCATTTAGTCCTGAAATGCTTCTTGGATTACGTAATCCAGTAGATGAACGTTTTCTGGAGTGCACTTATGGTGATCTGACCAATGGAACCACACTCCCTGACTGTCTCGGGGAATCTCCTGTTTATATGCGCATCTACAATTTATTATAATACTGTACAAAGCGGCATCACTATGTGTATATACATGGCGCAAGAAGCATGCAAGTTTCGACATGAGTTTTCTTTTTGCAGTCATGTGGATGTGACAACTTACAGAATTTTTGCCAAGGAACTTTTCAGTCCCTCTGGCCAGTTTTCTTTGGAAAAATCACCATCTTCAAAAACCATGGTGTGCGGCCTTTTCGATCGTCGCCAAAAGGCAAACATTCTACTCTTTCTGAAGCGTTCTCCCGGCTGTTTACGCCTTGTCAATTTTGGACTGTGCCACGGTTGAGGCGGGTGTGTCGAGGGCAGTTCACCCAATCCGTTTGTCCGTAATCCGGAGGGTGCACTATTCAATTGTTTCGAAACTGAGTTCATAGAAATCTGACTGTCGTGCGGAGATTTTGTCCGTACTTTTCCACGGTCGACGGCTTTCAAAGAAGCATTCAAATTTGGGTTTGACAATCCCCTGTAATTATTACTCTGTAATTTGGAACATTTGGTTCCCGGTGCTTTGTAGTCTCCAAGACTTGCATCAACAACAGTCGACGTGAAATACTCGGAGCATGTTCTTGGCAGATTTCTCACTGATCTAGGACTGTATGCATTATTCGAACCCCGCCCGAGGAATATCACGCTGGAACTTAACGGGTGCGGACAACTGCCATATAGGGTGTTCCCATCCAACCGACATAGGTACCCATTGGTAAACTTGTCCTGTTGCTTCTCTCTGCTCACACGCCTTCTGATACAGAGTATCGCGAAAATCAAGGCGAATAAGAGGAAAAGAACTAGAAGAACCAGGGAAATAATGATGTATATCAAGTAGGATTCAGATGGGGAACTTTTTCCCATGGTGGGCTTGTCATCAAACGAGTAAGCAGGTGCGTTTGCCATCTGCAATAGGGTTGGTGGAGACGATACATGATCCACCTTAGTTGTGGAAGTGTCTGAGGTGTTTAGAAGCACAGGTTCTTTAGTTGAAGTTTGATTCTCAAAAGCTGTGCCTGGCGCTTGCGTCGAAGGCGTGGAAGACAATGTCACTGCTTTGGTCGCTTTTGGTGTAGCGGTTGATGTGGTCATCGCTTCCGATTCATCCCTGTTCGATTCTGATTCGGGAACAATGACCACCGAATCCAAGGATTCTACCCTCTGATTTGTGTCCATACTATACACATTTGGTTGCCAACATTTTCTGACGTGGTCTAATTTCAAATCGTCTACCGGGTCCCACAAACCAGCTTCTCGTTGACAAGTAGTCTCGAACAAAAGTTGGTTTCCAGCTTTATTCCGGCTATTCACTCCGCTCAAGCGCAAATAATGTTTGGGTGAGGAATACGTTCCGACGGATGGCTGCGGGAGTAGAAAATAGACGGGCATAAACGTCTGACTACTGAATACATCACAAATAGGATATCTGCTTATCCAAGATCTACACTCGTAGTTGTCGTGACAGTGATAAAATCTGACTTGCCAACTTTTCCACGGAAGCCAAAGGCGACGGAATGATGAAATACGGTTGGCAACATCACAGAAGACGGTGAGTCGAAAATACGGAGGTAGAATTGAGTCCTGTGCATACGCGAAATTCCCCTTAGTACCAACAACTGTGTTTGGTATCAGACTATCATCTTCCCAGTTGAACGGATTCCATATGCTTAGTCGTGTTACACGAGAACGGGTCGATAAATCACCCAGATCAATGCGTCGTAGAGTGGCAATATAAATGTAAGATATTGTGAGATGAACCGGACTTAATTCCAGTTGTAGATGATGTCTCAGTGTTTGGACTATCCATCCAAGGACACCAGGTACCAGGTGATCAATGTGTAGACGTCGCACTGCATCTCCTCTACCCTCGTCCACCTGAGCTGGACTCAGAATTATCTTCAAATCATATCCTCTCCCTTCAGCCACTGCAGGTCCAGTGATTACTGCTGTGCGAAAGGAGTGTGTGGTAGTTGGATTTTTCCAAAAGCTGCAATTGATCCGTTCCAATATTTTGATGGTGTTGGTCGTGGAAGTTATTTCGTCCTGACAGTCGAGAACAACTTTTCTTGTGGTGGAGTTGCGAAATGTAAAACAGTGAACCGACGGACATAATCCTTCGTCTAGATAGAATCGGTTTCGAGGTTCTCCGCCAACGTCTTTGGTTGAATGAACCGGTTGTGGTTGGATGTACCGGTTTGAATACGGTGGAATATCCGAATCGGGGAAGGTGTTGATCGACTGACCCTTTGTTTCTGCATTCTCCAGGTCCGAGGGAAGATACAAACTGTCTATGAGTTGTGGCGCGTTTTCTGAATCGGAGAGTATCACGCATGGAATGAAGATGACGAATAACACAAACAGCAATACTTCCAGCCGCGGCATTTTAAAGTTAGCATTTAGCAGACGCACAGTGTGTCACAGTTGGTCTAAGCTCCGGGACATCACCGAACGTATGTGAATATTACATGGGGAATGGTCCCGCAGCTGACCGCCTGGTCTTGTCATGCGACCCCGGCGAGATATGTAGCGAGTGAGTGCAACAGCTGTTCATCCAAGCCTGTCTATCGCTGCAATGCGATTGGTTTTTGTGGCTAGCGGAAAGACACCAATGAGAACAATAACCAATCGGCTTTGAGATTAGTTAATCAGCTGATTAACCGGTAACCAATCTTACCCGTATATTTAGCCACACTGTCGCATGTGTCAGTTTGTAATACGTGATCAGAAAAGGTATTATTTAGCTACTGTTGGCATTCTAGACTGGCAATTTCGTTCACTTTCGTTTGACACAGCTCCGTCATATCCTCAAACGGTCCCTTTGTTTCACACCAATACGGGTTTCCGTGCGCTGGCGCGATTATTCTGGTGAGCCCAAACCAAAGACTGGCGAGAGAAGTGAAGTCTAGTTTCGCTCTTATTAAAGCCCATCAGTAGTTCATATCCTTAACGTTCTGTTTTGAAATTCAGACATCCGACATGCGAAGTGAGTGTTACCACTGCCCCACAAGCGCAAGCTGGATGCGTCTGAACAGGAAAACAGTTAACGATCTGGACAATTGATTAACTCTAATAAGAGCGAAACTGAAGTTCAATTCTTTTCGCTTTCTCCGTTGGTGTGGACTCACCAGAATAATTTCCCCAGGACGGAAGGGCAGCTTCTCAAACGAGCGTGTTGTGTATGTGGATCGCACGTGACTTTCGCTCTAATTACTGCTGAAAGTGGTACGTATCCTCCACCTCACTTCTGATATTCTGACCTGATTATGTTCTCCACTTGACGCAATCACCGAATGCATGTGTGGCTAATTCATGACAGCCAAAGTTTACATGTTGAGTACGTTCCCAGGAGTAAAACACCACGAATATCAAAGGACCCAACTTGCTACTTATCAGCTCACCAAATACCATTTCGTTGCACCGCTGTATGACATACTGTAGCCGCTCACTTCTTGAGCATAGAACATCAGACGGAGGCCACGAACGTCTGTTAGCTTGATTTGTCTTCACTAATCAACCAGGCATAACTAACTCGACCACGCTCAGGATACGGAGGAGCATGAAACACCAAAAATCCAGTCTCTTCATTTCATGTCTGTCAAAGTGACAGTGCTTTCCTGCTCGATTTTAAAAGGAAAAACTTCAAAACCAATCGTATTCTTTAGCCCAGCGTTCCCATTTGAGACGAGATGGCCCAAGTGTATTAGAGCGCGAAGTTACTGACCGGGAGATCCGTGTTTCGAATCCGAACTCTGCCTCTCGACTTCCCCTGTCTAGGCTGGGGCAACCTGGCAGTATCCAAGCCCTTGTGGTTCCTCCGGGTGGTATGGCAGCCAGTGAGTAACCTTCAGATACCACCGAGTCATTTTCAAAATTACATCCAAGTTAAGATTCTCGGTAATGCTGAAAATGCTAGAAACAATGTATAGTGGATTCGTCCCTGGTATCTGCAGTGCGCGTCTCACCGAACACCGAGAGTTTCGATTCCGCGATCTTCCGGTCATTTAGTGAACACTTAAACATTCGGTCCCGAGCGGCTGAACAGTAGTGTGCTTAGCTCTTCCTTGGACAGGATAGAGCGCCACTCATCCTTCAGTCACAGAAAGCGCATCACGTGGTCACCGGATTCCCTGGCTTCTGCATATACTATTATCGGTGAACAGTTAAAACGACGCCCCGTATCAGGAATAAACATTCTAGTGCACCGCATCTTGACTGGTCAAGAAAGTCCCCGGCAAAAATTTCGACAGCCTGACCGCTTGACAAAGATGTTCCAACGTCTAGTCTGAATTAGACGTGGACAGTTAATTAATGGATCAACAGCAGCTCTGAGAAAAAGTCAGAAAAGATCGGTGCGCATAATTTGAGAGTGTACGCAAGCGCTCAAAACAAACCTACACGCCTAACACTATACTCTCAAGACATGTTGACCTTATTCATAGAACAAATTAGCTCTGGCCATACACAAAGTGTCCCGATAGAAAAGGGAACGATAACAGGTAGTATGTCACGAAAGGAAAGGTATCCAACATAAAGCCAATGTATCCAGATGAGTGTACTTTGTGTCAGATGATCTCAGGGTATTTAGATCCTTACTTCCAAGTTTTACAACTCCCAAGAAAAACCTGTTCGCCACAAGTGTCGAATAAACCAAGAGAGATTTATAGTGTATTGCAGTGTGCTAACATTTGTCTTACTCTCCTCAATCGTGGATTTAAAAATGCGAGTTATGTAGGACACCAAGTAGACACAAAGTTGGACACATATCGATTAATTGATTTGTAGGTCACCTGATCAGTGCCAGGGCGATCAAATCGCCCGCTTCAACAGCCTTCATGCATACTGTTTAACAAACTAGTTGTACCAAAGAAGGTTGTCACGAGAAACAAGGATGAACTTGTAATTGGAGATTTTGGGCGTCTTCCTTTAAAGGTTAGTCTACCTCGTTGTAAACCGGATCTGAGGAGTGCATGACTTGTACCTTTGCAGTTTGCACCCAGTTAGAGTAGCGCGACTACATCCAGCGTAGTCAAGCCAACCCAGACGAGGTCATTTTGATTGACGATGATACGTTTGTGATACAACCGCCAAGCTCGTCAAATAGACCAACAACTAAGGAGCACACCTGAGCTACCTATATTTCCGCAACATCCCCAAACCGGACACTTTAGAAGTCACTAAAATATCCGTATACAACTCATCTCCTATTATCATTTATTTTTGAAGAGCAGGGTCACAAACATAAAAAGTGAATACAAGCGACGAACGCGAAAGGATAACAGGAGAATATGATAGAAAAGAGAGAGATGTCTCATGCGAATTCATGCCAACCACAGTCCCAGTCAGATGAGATGAATCCCGAATTATGTAAAACTTTTGATATGGAAACACGTGTCTAAAGATCAACAACCGAAGATAGGGCATTGTTCAATGCGCTTCAAGGGGCGGTAAGCGCTAGCGCAATCAAGGCTCACACATCAGGCACAAGCTTAGAGCGTTAAAAGACCGTTCAGTCCATTTAATATATGCAAGGACTTGAAAGCAGCGGCCATCTTATTGTGCCGTCTGCTTGTTCCGCTCACAAATCCAATAGTTCACCCAA